TTATTTACCCCCCCACCCCCGGAACTGGGGATTGAACTCAGGCCCTTGCACTTGCCAGGCAAGCACTTATTCTACTGAGCCATCTCCCTGGCCCCTACCTACAGATTCCTTCATAAACTAAATACAAGCCATCTATGTTAGAATAATAGATTAATTTAAAACTATTTTTACTTTAAATATTTGAGATATTTCCAAGAATAGTTCGACAGTTATGTAAAAAATTGACTTAAAGGCAGACATAATTTGAAAGTTGGTATGACTGAAATGCTGCTTTTTTAGTGCAATCTTAACACCATTGCCAGTGTGTTGTCTTTGTAAACAGATATCACTGCACACAATGAAGAAATTTCTGGAGGCCGGGGAGATGGCTCAGTAGAATAAGCGCTTGCCTGGCAAGCGCATGGGCCTAAGTTCAAGCCCTGGTTCAAAAAAAAAAAAAAAACTGAAAAGTGTCTTATTCACACTGTAAATTAAATCCTGTTGATTTATTTAGGGCATATTTTATAGTAGCTTTTATTCTTCAGTTGGTAGTGCTAATATGTAAAATTACAAATTAAATGAATTAAAAATGTGCCTAAAATAAGCTTTATATTCTTGCCATAGATATGGTTTCTAGAAATATTTTGCAGTGTAGTTTGAATTTGAAGAAAAACTGGAAGTTTTCTCTGCCTAAAGACAAACTCCAATCCCAAATTCTCATAGTTTAAAAGATTACTTACAATGATTCTTGACAAGAGTAATCGATGACCATTTGGAAAACTTTCTAAAGGATATAAGAAGCATAGGTGATAGGCGAGGATATACTTTTAAAAAACACAACTGATAAAAATTCACTTAAGACATGTTAGTACTTTAGAATTTTCAACTTAGGTCTTTCACATGTCATTTTAAGAGTTAAAGAGATAGAGAGAGGGGAAGACTCACCAAACTCTGTGGTTAATCAGTGTAAGAAGTATCTAGATTTTGGACTCCTGGCACCAGAAGTAGGAATAAAGAGTAAAACATAACATAGGGAGATATGTTTTTGAACCCTTGTATAGGATGTCAGATTGTATTTTCTCAGACATGGCATTAAAGATATATTGATAGTTATTCTGTTTATGTATTAATTTTACAAGTCTTTGTTATACATTGGATGGGCAAGAAACTGAGGTGGGGCAGGGAGAGAGCTCAGCAGCTTAAGCACCTCCCTGAGTTCAGACCCTGATAGGAAGGAAGGAAGGAAGGAGAAAGGAAAGGTGGATAGAGTAAATTCTACTCATTTTACTCATTAAATTTTCACTGAACATCAATAATTGTAAATAGATATCTAGGATATGTTGATAACAAAATGAAGATTCTCATCTCCAGTGAGGTTTATATTTTAATGACACAGACAAGTAGGACATAAAGAATAGTCATTAATAAGTTGTATTAATATACAAGGTACAGAATATACAAGGTAGTGAGTTATGGAAGAAAGAACAGTTCAAGAGGGACTTGATGGGCACTGGAATAGGGTATGTGAACATGAAGAAGGTCATTTAAAAGCAAGTTAGATATTGATAGTAGTTGGACTGACTTGAAGGAGTAGTGAGACGTGGAAATTCCAGGCAGAGATTAGCTGGTAGACAAGTCCTAAGGCCATGCTGGCATGGTGGCACACGGCCTATAATCCCATCACTTAGGAAGAGGCTGAGGCAGGGGGACTGTTTCAAGTTTGAGACCAGCCTGGGCTACAGAGTGAGCTGACAGCCAGCCTGAGCTGCATAGGGAAACACTGTCTAAAAAAAATAATAATAAATAAAAATGTCCTAAGGCCTTTGTGTGTTTGGTGAGTTGAAGAGACAGCAGGAAGACCAGCAAGTCTGCAATAGAGTGTAGTATTTAGGAGAATGTTACAGAGTCTGCTTGAAGACAAACTCAGGTTCCCATATTTTCAAAGATCATGTTCTGTAGTTGCGTCAGTGAAAATTTTTCCTTATACAGGTATTTCCAAAAAGGGAAGGTTTAAAAAATGACTGGCATTCTGTATTTGTAATTTCATTGTATGTTTTCCCTTTTAAGATACGGGCATAATGCAGGAGAAGCTACACATCATGCAGTGGATTCTGCCATCAATGTTGGTGTAACTGCCTATAATATTGACAACATTGGTATTAAAGCAATGGTGAAGAAAACTGCAAAACAAACAGGGCAGAAAATCCTTGAAGACTATCAAATAACTGATGATTCTCAGAGGGAAGGTGAAGGAGAAACATCAAATCCAAATGTGAGAAAACAGAAAAATGAAAAAGCAGCAAAGAAGGAAGATAAATGATGGAAGTAGCAGAAACTACTTGTACCAAAGCCTTACCAAATGGAAGAAATTTTGTAAAATAAGCAAATGTGGAATTCTTCACCGATTAACCAGTATTTTTTTTTTTAAATGTATTCATTACGATTTAAATGACTGTCATAAGCATTCTGGCATATATTCCATTTACAAGGAAAACAATCAGCATTCTTGCATCTGGTCTTCACAAATAATGAAATTATATTCTTACTGTGTTTATTTTTGCCTTAAAATGTGGCTGAAATATTTTTGTAGTTAAAGCTTAATTTTTCTGTCTGCTGTCTTTCAGGAAAAAAGGAAATTATATATTTACATAAAATTTGATATTTACTAACCTCCAGTGTATTTATACGGGGAAAAAATTACCTCTAAAATATTTTTTTTTTGCACTAATTGTCAATCTTTTTAGATGCTTGTCAGTTTTCAGTGTATAAGCTAAATAAAAACTAAAAAAATTCTCAGATTACATTCTGAAACACTTTGATAACAGAAGAGTTTGATCATGGAAAGTAGAAATGAAGCTCTGTAAACCTACTTGGTAGTTTGCCTGTTAGGAATGAGATCTTTTTCATTTAAAATGTATAAAAATGTATCTTACATCTTCTGGATTGTGACTGGTTTTGATGTATTAGGAACATAGGGAATTTTGCAGTATTACTGGTATTTATTAAAATTAAAATTAATTTTCAACTTAATTGACTAAAAACTTTGTAAACATTAAAATATAAGTAGTTAAATTTACTGTTGGCAAATATATTATTTTTTGATACAGGTATTGGAATTTATATTTAGAAGCTAATAATTTACAAGGGAAGGTTCTATTCATGAGCAAGGTAAAGAGCTATCTAGTTTCTGACTCTTTAGTGGCTAGTTTATTAGACTTTATTTCAAAGCAGCTAAAGAATGCTTTTTGTGAATACAAAAAATTCACTGATTTTCTTGGCCTCAAATATAGTTATTGGGCTTGTGTTTTGGGAACACAGAATTGGTAGGGCTTTTTTCTAATACTTGTTAAAATGGAAATAAAATAGAATTGCCAAATAGGTTCCAGGCAGTCTCTGCTTTGTTCAAGTTTAAGAAGTGGAATGCCAAATAGTAAAGCCTAAAGTTTAAAAAGTTACATTGACTATAGGTGTGGAGAGATGCCCCAGCTGGCTACCTGTTTTTGCAAAAATAAAGTTTTATTGGAGCACAGTTATATTTCTCTAGCTGCTCTCTAGTACTTGCAAGACATGGTAGGGCCAAGAAGCCTATTTACTCTCTGACCCTTTACAGAAAAAGTGAGCTGATGTTTGTCTTAAAATAGTCTGTGTCCATAGAGTTGGATAGACCACCCTTGTTATGGTTTGTGTATAGGTGTCCCCCCAAAGCCTCATGCAGTCTTGGGGCAGCTTCTGGAGTTTGTGATTGAGCACTGTGGGTGTGGATGCTGCCTGCCCTGGGGCAGGTAATTTGCATTACAATGTAAGGTGGGAAGAGAAGCTAGCTGCTTGAGCTGCTGCTACCCCTCCCTGGTGCTCTTGCCCTTTGCCACCACCATGGAAGGCTGCTTTTTGCTCTGTGCTGCTCTGCATTGTACCCAGCTGAGTATGGACTGAAATCTCCAGTAACTGTGAGCTAAATAAACCTTTCCTTCCTTCATTTTGAGTGTCGGGTATTTGTCCCAGCAATGAGAGAAGAGTAACTAAGACAACCCTTAAGGCATATAAATGCATTCCCCAACATAGAAGCTCTGTGAACCCTATCATTGAGGGGTTTTTAGAGAGGCCCCGTTACTCATTCCTAGTCTTCACCCAGCCCCTAGAGGTCATGGGTGGAGGGTCAAATTTAACTGGAAGTTTCACTCTTCTAGTTACATAGTTGGTTTCTCTGACAAGCAGCCCCCATCTCCAAAGAATCTCCTTATTAACATAAACTCAGGTATGGTTGAAAGGACATTGATTATGAATGGTAAAAGAGGAAATCCTGAAATTTTAGTAATTGTGTACCAGGAACTAAGATCAGGTGTCTTTTCTACCCTCGCGGAACATCCAAAATCTCTGGGAAGCATATGGTCCACAAATTATAACATTCTCTTAGCCTAGTTTTTACTGTTTAAATGTTTTTGAGCACTCCCAAATTCTTGAAATTTAATTCCCACTGAAACCACATTGAGATGGTCTTGTTAATTAAGCCATGAGGTCTTTACCTCAGGAGCAGTATTCATGCCTTACAAAAAAGGCTGGAGGACCAAGATGAGAGGTATTCAACCATGATTTTTTGTATTACACATTGCTGTCCTTGATGTAGTTGCTTAGGTCTCATCATGACCTAAAGGTGTACTGTTTCTAATGTCTTGGCAATTATAATACTCTCTTTAAAATCAATTTTTAAAAAAGGAAAGAAAAATTAAGGTTTATTGAAAGGAAGCATTAATATTCAGCTATTTGTCCATTATTGAATAACTATGTTATTTCTGAGCAACAGAGTTGACAATAGATAATATCAACCATTGTTAATTAGCTATTCTTGTTTTGAAAATCTGTAACATATGTATTGTAACCTTGTTTCTGTCTTTGTTTCTGCTATTTGTTTTTGCTTTTGATTTTACCCTTCAAAATAAAAAAGGCTGGAAGGAACTAGCAAGTAAGTCCCTTTCTGGCCTATGCCATGTGAAAATAAAGTAGTATTTTCTTTCCTACTCCATCTTTGACCATAAAAAGGACCCAGCAACAAGGCACCATCTTGGAAGCAGATACTAGGCTCTTGCAATACTGAGTTGGCAAAAACCTTGAGCTTTAGTCTCTAGCCTCTGTAACTGAGAGAGATGCCTGTTCTTTATAAACTATTCAGCCTCAGGTATTCTGTTACAAGAGCACAAATAGACCATAAGGAGATAGTGTGGGAAACATTCTGCCTTAGGTTCACAACTGGATGCCTTTGGGTTTTGGATATTACAAGAGCATCTTGCTCTAATCAGACTTACCTAACATCTAGGCCTAGACGATAAAAGATAATGTTCTTGTTCTGTCCAGACTTCCTTGACACCAGCATGAGCCCAAGAGATATTTCTGTTCTTATCACTTTGACATTTGGCCTGAGCCCAAAGGGGATGGGTTCTAACTGCTCTAGAGTTACCAAGGTTTATACCACAGTCATTATGATAGCAAATAAAATTCTGAAAAGAAAACCTCTCTCCTGATATGAAAGTGGAGACTCAATAGAGCAGAGTCCCTGTTAGTGCCACCGTAGACTTGGGAAAAGTCCCAATAAATATCTCAAAATTTAAAGCAGATAAACCCATTTGGAGTCAAACTCACCCTTGAGCTTCTTCATTGGCCTGCCCCTGCATTGTAGAGTACACCCTTTCCTTGCAATAAATCTGCTCTTACTACTTCTGTGTGTCCTGCTTAATTCTTTGTTCAGGATACAAAGACCCTGGATATTGGGTAAAACAGAGACTACTTGTCTAATAATACTAGGACTAAGACGAGGCCTTTTCCCTACCTGACTTAGATGTAATAGTGTTTGAAAAACAATAGTTTTCAGTATGGACTTGTGTTGGGCTCACAGGGGTACGGACCTGTGAGCATGTGAAGATTTGGGTAGATACCTGGATACAAACTATAACAGAGTTCCTCACAGATTTTGTGATTTTTTGCATTTAGAAATAAAAATAATTCAAGGGGCTGGGGAGATGACTCAGTAGAATAAGCACTTCCCTAGCAAGCCCAAGGGCCTGAGTTCAATCCCCGGTTCTGCCAAAAAATAAACTTCAAAGAGAACATTGCATTGGTTTAAGAGCTTGTCCCTTTCAGAAAAAAAAAAATACAGTAAGTCAGATTTGTTATAAGTCTGACAAAATGAGTCTTACACCTTGGACACAAAAATATAATGTATATTGTTTTGCACTTCCTAGTAGTCCTCCATTGCATCACTGCTTTTCTTGCTTTCAGACATCACGGGCTTTAAGTATTGTACTACTGTGCATTATCAGACTGCACAGGGGCTGGGGAGATAGCTCAGCAGTCTAAGTGCCTGCCTGGCAAGCACAGGGACCCGAGTTCAATCACTGGTAGCACATGCTGTGCCATCCCCTGAATCTCAGGTGTGGTGGTGCACATCCATAATCCCATCACAGGGCAGGCTGAGACAGGAAGATCTACAAGACTGAGCTGTGTAATGAAACCCTGTATCTAATAAATAAATTTTAAAAAACCTCCTTAGATTGCACAGTAAGCACATTCCAGTACAACTGCAATGACATGACAGTCGTGAGCTACTTTTGCAAATTGTTCACATCTACAAATGTTCGGAATACCAGGTTTGTTCATTATCTGTGGGAGGTTCTGAAAGCAAATATCCCTAAGAAAGGGACATACTATATCTACAGTATACTTAAAACATTAGAAGACAAATAAGGCAGACCAGATTTTTTTCTTTTGAAAAAGCCTGAAATAATGTCCTAAGATATTTCACACAAGGAGTGGTAACAGGCATGATCACCTGGGAAGTTATTCATTGACAAAAGCAGTTACTGGTAAGGATGTTCTCCATTTCCACCTCCAATATATTCTGTTCAAATTTTAAAAATAGATTTAGAACCCAGCTCAAGAGCAAACTGTTTAAGTATGATATTCATGAAAGATCTCAATATATAAGAAAGGGTCCTGGAATGTATTTGATGAGCCTCCAGACCATAACTTCAGTCAAGAAAACATTGTTGCATAAGCAATGACTATGAGCTAAAAAGACAGGAGGCTTTGGATGTAGTTGTTAAATTTAAGATATTTGAGGTAAAGCCATTCTGAGTGATGACAAGATTGAAAATATGGCTGTGGAAAAAAAGATACAAGTGATAAAAGTTGTGATCTGAAGGGTAAAGCTGTAAATGGGAGCAGCCACTGAAGTGTATATAGTCATGAGGATGGCAAGACAGTGGGAAGACCCTTTTGTTGTCATAGAGACAAGGCAAGACTACGAAGTCTCTGGTGTAGTGAGGAGGAAGAGAAGGCATTATGCAGGCACGTGCACAAAGGAGCAGTGGGTTCTGCAAAAGAATGAGAATAAAATGATCAATTCTTGGCTTTGACATCTGAAATGTATAGGTCAGGTATACATATTAGGGGAATTTGAAACAATATTTAACACATAATTAGTTCTATTTACCCCAACACTAGCACATTCTCCCCTCTACACCTATAAAGGAGAGAAAATGTAAACTCTAGCTGTGGAGAAAGACAAAAAAAGCTACTAATGCAGAGAACAGATATATGAGATCTTTAAGAGGACACTTACTTGAATTCTTTTGTATTAGTTTTTCATCAAACTGGGTTTTCTAGAAGCAGAAAATTTATTTTATTTTATTTTTTATTTTTATGTATTTTAGTACAGGGTCTACAGGGTGTCACTACACAGATTGGACTCAGAGTGATCCTCCTGTTTTCAGCCTCCCAAGTGCTGGGATTACAGGCAAGCACCACCATGCCCACCCAATCTCATTCATTGTTTCAGCATGCCCCAAGGGCAGGGCTGGCAATATAGTTTACACCCTATTGCAGAAACTGTAGAAAACTGAATGGAAAATACTTTGCACTAAGGAGTTGGGAGACAACTTTTATTAACAGTGACGGGCTGATGGGATCTGGGTCCAAATCATCAGTATTGGCTTAAAATAAAACAACTGAAACAAATAAAACTTCAACTTACATACTTTTTTGTAAGCAGGAAGTACAAAGTCGATAAAGGGTTAATCTACAGTTGGTTATATATACAGGTTGGTTTATAATTGGCTACATATACAGAGTCACCTTATCAAGAAAATGTGTCCAGGCAGGTTTAATTGGAAGGGCTCATTTATCATAAGGCAAGTCAGGGTCCCAAGCAAACAAGCAAGATTTAATGCGATCTAGTCTACTCCAGGTGGATAGATCTTGAAGTAAGTTAGCAAAACAGGGTATTTGTGTGGCCACTGTGCAGTGGTCAGACAGGGCTAAGTCAATTTTATCTATGAGTTGCAGCTGTGTAGTCAAGGCTGGTTGACTCTGTCGGATCAATTATGAAGTGATAGTTTAAAAATTTCCCACTACAGTCTTACATGTCACTTTGTACGCAATAATCTCCTGTTAATAGTTCAACTGATTCATGAACAGAAGTTGAAATGCTTCAAATTATGATTCTGGGCAAATGTTTTAGACAGTGAAGACTATCAGTTGAATGTGCTACATTTGTGTTTTTTAAAAACAATCTAATCTCAAACCATTATCCTGCTTAAAACTTCTTCTGGTACAGAGTTTTTTTTCCAAATTTATTGAATCATTTTTATCAAAACTCACTTATATGCTGTTCATCAGTCTAAGGTTTATTTTGTACAATTTCTTTTTTATACTGGAAGTCAAGCCCAGAGTCTTCTCACTGAGCTACATCCCCAATTGTTTTCAAATTTTGAAACAGGATTTGTAAGTCACTAAGTTGCCCAAGGCTGAGCCCCAACCTGCCACACACTTGCCTCAGGCTCTCAGAGTGCTGGTATTACAGATGTGTTCCACCATACCCAACATTATGTACAAACTAGGTATGCAACCACAGGTTCTAGTTTTTGCAGACAGTTTCTAATGTTTTCCCATAAATTACTGGTTTTCTAAAAACATGTTGTAAGCAGCAATGAAATAAAGTGAGGATTGACCAAGTGCGCTTTTTATTTTTTAAATAGTTGAAAGATTTTTCCTTTAAGTATAACGTTTAGTGGCTTCTTACTAAGGGTCACTCTTCTCAGCACTAGATCTGAAATTAAAAAAAAAAAGAATTTACCAGAGATAGACCACTTGGGCTGATTTTTGCCAGAAAACGCGGTCTCATGCTCACACTTCTCAAACTGACTCAGAAAAACGTTCCAGCGTCAGAGAGTAGGGCATATTGTTTTTGACCATTTTCTAAAGCTGCTAACAATACCACAGACTGGGTAAGCAATCAAGAGGTTTACATTGGCTCATGCTTATACTTCAAGACCACAGGGCTGCCTCTGGTATTGGCCTTTAAGCTGGCAAAATCACAAAGCTGAGCAAGACCCCACCTGGCTTTCATAATAGACCTCTTCTGGAGATAAGCCACTAACCACACATCAGATGGACGGATTACTCCACTCACGACAGCAAAGTGCCAATCACTTCTTAAAGGTCTCCTGGTTTCATCTCTTTAACAGGCACTAAATTTCAACATCTATTTTGGAGGGGCCAAACTATATCCAAACACACAGCAACCAGTGCACGTCTGGCGTGTGAAGGAAGATTAAAGCACAGACGTCGCAGGAGGAGAATGCAAAATTGATGACTAAACATAGAATGAAATTGCTAATCGCAGTGGACAGTCCCCAGATGCGCCTAAATTCCAAGACAGACTGCATGGAAAACTTAGGTCTTCCCGAGTTCAGCGGTACCAGCTCAAGGCCTGCTCTTCTGTGACACACCTAAGCAGAAGCCCTGGGACACGGTCAACTGAGGCAAAGCAAGGGAAAGCCAGTCGCGGGTCCAGCATTTTCTGGTGAGGACGAGGAGCTAGAGCAACGCAGCACCTGGTAGGAGGCACGGGGAGGTGGATGTCGGGCCGCCCTCACGCAACACAGCTGCCTCCGGCCTCGCCCTCCGCACCCAAGCTCCGCCATCAGGGAGAAGGTCGGGTCGCAGCCCTTGGCCGAGCGAGGACCCCGCTCGCGTGGGCTCCGCCTCCTTGGCCCCCAGTCGCGGGGCGACGCCGGCGCGCCTGTGACGTCACCGCGCGACGTGCGGGGCAGCGCGGCAGCCGGCGACTATGAGGCAGTCGGCCATGGGGACGGCCCGCAGCGGCGCTTTGTTCTGCCCGGCTTCTGCTCTGAAGTGCGCAGAGGGGAAGAGCCCGGGAGATCTCTGACCTGTCACCATGGAGGAGGGGAGGGGCGACAGCTTTGTGGGCGTGAGCTTGGAGCGCCTCAAACTACAGCTGCTGGAGGAAATCCACAGGAAGTGAGTGGGCGCGCTCGGCGCCGCGTGCGTGCGTGCGTGCGTGCGCCTTCGTGGCCACGCGGGGCCGTCCCCGCCTGCCACCCAATTGCCGAAGACATCGAGGTTGATCGGAGCCCAGACTGATGCAGGGCACGTCTAGCAACGTCCCACAATACTTTTATGTGACTCATTTACTTTTCTGATTAAACCTTAGGTAGTATAAATATCCACTCGATTTGCCTTGAGGATCAAATTGAAGTGAGTCATGTTCCCCATAATGTGATGCAAAATTACCTGTTTGGTTTTGATGTCCCAGTGTTTCCTAAGCCAAGGATTTGTTTTAGCTAAGCATTTCATTCCTCTTTAGAAGAACTTAAGAAGTGACATTCTGTAAAAATCAGGTGTTTTTATATGTTTTTCCGGGGTCGGCCAAATAGCTCAGCGGATTAAAGCACCTGCAAGCAGGCGTGGCAACCATGGTGGTTCAATCTCCGGGCCTCCCATGCTGGCCCCACCCCCGGGGCACACTGAGATGGCAGTTGAGACTGGGCATGGTGGTGCGTGCCTGTAATCCCAACTCTTGAGAGGCTATAAACAGGAGAATCACTACAAGTCCAATCTAGTAGTGAGACCCAGAACACCCTGTAGAACCTTCCCTAAAATTACATATATATATATATATATATATATATATATATATATATATGCTTTTCCCAAACTACTTTTTCTATTTGCCAAGTATCCAACCCATGGCCTTTCAAATGATAGACAAGCAGTCTACCACAGAGCAGTATTACCAGCCTCCTACATGGTTTTAAAAATATTAGTACTTTGTGTCAAAATGTTGAATGCTCTAGTGTGTTTTTAAAAAGATAATTGTAATCCTACCCACAGGCCTCATTGTTGTACTTTCTTGGTATCCCAAAGAATTGGACAACACATAAAAATGGCAGTGAAATAAAAAATGTAGTTTTATTGAAGGTGGAAAAGAAGCATGTTCAGCAGAGTAAGAGTAGGTGGGTGAAAAGGCTCCTAGTGCTCCTAGGATAAGGGAAAGTTGTCTTCTGCATCTAGAATTCATGGTTTATGTAAATTATCCTATGTAAAAGTTCCCTGGCTTCCTACTGTATGTAAATGAAGGGTCAGGAATAATGTCTCCTGATTGGTTGTGCCATATGCAAATGAGGGATTGAAAAGAGCATCTTCTGTTTGGTCCCGTGAGCAGCACCAGATTCAAATAAAGGTTCGAAAATAGCACTTTGCTAATTGGTCTTTGTAGAGTGACAATAACCTCACTATGCAGTAGAGAAGTGCCCCTCTCCCTATTACCCTGTGTCACCATGAGAATGAGACTCCTGTGCGCTCTATTGTGGCTCCAATTGTGGAGGACCACGTGAGTAGCTCTCCTTGAAAGAAGAGCAATTGTCTCTATTTTGGCTGACCCTATTTCCTTGTATTAATATGTACAGAGCTGGCTAGGACTTTTCTCTCTTTAATTTGCTTTAAACAATGCATATTGGTCTAGCCAAGGTGTTGGTGTTAGTCTTTAAAGACTGTACATGTGCTTCCTTGGTAACCCTCACCTGCTGCTCTTTAATATGAGCCTGGTTGAGATATGATGAAGAGCCAGTGCTCCATGCTCTTCACTGGGATCAAGCCTCAAGATGGAGGCTTTGACTCTCTGGTTCTTTAAAGATTACACATCAGAACTGAAGCTCTGGACCCCAAAATGTTAGATACTATATCAATTATGTAATGTAAATTACTCTTTCTGTATATGCTTCTCTTTACAAATGGCAGAGGTAAATGCAGACCTCCTACCTAGCCTAGCTCATGTCACTCATTGTACTTCTACCATGCTCAATCACTCATCCTCAAGCCACTCCCCTCTTTAGAAATGAATAAAAGCTGGGTTTGGTTTTGAGTAAGGGCCTTTGTTCCAGATAACCATCTTCATGGCTAGACTTAGGAACCCTTGACCCCATAATTATAACTATGCTTTAGTGTCTTTGTTCTTTAGGTTGCACTGGAAGTGGTAGATTGAAATTAACTTGATGGGATTCCAATAATTAGACTGAGAAGAGGACCAAGAAGGGCTCTCTACAGCCAGTCACACTGTCTAATTGCCTTTTTCTTAATTTTGAGGACAGGTTCTATGTGTCATCTGATGAAGTAAAGGGTCAGAACAAGTACTTTAGACTCTGACATATTTTAGAAGAATTTTACATAATTCAAATCTCAGTTATTATTACTCAGTCATTATATAAGCTTAAATTAATTGTTATAGAAATAATTCCTGTAGTTACCAAGATGAAATGAGATGTAATGTACATGAATTAGCACTTATTGACAATAAGCATTCAGTGGATGTTAGTTGCTGTTGCTGTTGTTTTAATGCATTCATTTTTGCTGTGTCTTGAATATAATAAGTATTAAGAACTTGGATAAATGATTGTCTTCGTGCTGTATTGTGATATTTAATAGTGATTTTCAATAAAATTTATTTGTATACAAGAGGTGATCGAAGTATACAATGAATATTTAATTTTTTAAGTTGGTCTAGCCAAGGTGCTGGTGTTAGTCTTTAAAGACTGTACGTGTTTAAACCCCCACCTGCTGCCACTAACCTGCCTCAAGATGTTCTCCTAACCCCTGAACACATTATCCTGTCACTTTTGCCACTTTCTTTATGAGCAGTGAAGCTCATAAAAATATAGTATATTCTTATTCACCAGATATTATACCTTGCAACTTCTCTCTCTTTCCCAAAGTCAAAATGACCAGGAAAGGTAAATATTTTCAATCCATTCAGGACATCAAAGCAGCCATGGCAGTGCAAACCAAGATATTAAAGAAAGATGACTTCTGGAATTTCTTCATGAAGGGACAAGAATGATAGAATAAGTGTTTTAAGTCAGGGAAAATATTTTGAAGGAGGTCAATGGCAGCATGTCTTTTACTGTGATATATTTTTAAAATGTTACTATTTCGTTTTTTATACCACTTATATGCATGGTTTTTTGGAGGGGGGGATTGTTACTACCAATGGCTTTAGCTATTCCTTTCTGTAATAACTTGCAGCTCTTAATTTATTGGTTCTTAAACAATTGACTTTTAGAGCGTTATGTCTAAGTTAAGAATAAAGGGTATCAAGTGGTTACCTGAAGGCTTTGGGCTTTCCTGTATATCTAATCCTTTCTGGATATGACTGATAAGAAGCCTTCATTTGATTTGTGAGTCTCAACCATGGCTTTAGAAAGTTATGTTTCATAATAAATTGATTCTGGAGTAGTAGTGGGTTACCCTGCTCTAGTCCTATATTTTTAATAACATTGCAGTTAACAAAATATCTTTAATAACAGGGATGTAGTGCAACTCTCATTGGTTGAAATGAAACACAAGATTGCAGAACTGGAAGCCAAACTCAGCACTGACAATGAAGGTATATAAGTATATATGTGACTCTTGTGTAATTTCTGTTAATTACCAGGATAACTATTGTATATTAAACTACATACATTAAATAATTGTAGCAAGATGCCAGTGTTGCTTTTTGATAGTAATAATAATTTATAAGAGCTTTAAAACATAGACTGCAGAATATGAACTCAAGCTGTCTAATTACTTTTCAACTTTATAAGTTCAAAATGTTTATCAGTTCACAAAGCTTTTGTCAGGTGGCATCAATATATTATTTTCTTAGTAAGTAATATCACACATTTTCTAGTCAACCTAGGTCACAGCCTTCATATCTTTACTAGATTTGGAGTAAAACTTCTGTTTATTCTGTGTTTGAATTTGTGATCCTTTTGCATCAGCCTACCAGCGTGCTGGGATTACAGACTTAAGCCACAACGCTTCACTGGAGTATAAAATCTTAGTCTAGGAAATGAGCTGCATATGGCGGCACAATCTGTAATCCCAGCTGTTCTGAAGGCTGAGGTGGGACAATCACAAGTCTAAGGGACATAGTGAAATTTCTATCTCGGAAAAACATCTCATCTAAAGTTTGACTTTTAGTTTCTTTGCTTTAGGTAAACATGATGTGTGTAGGATACATGGGCTGGGTAACACTTAACAAATAGTTGCATTGGTAAGGGTAACTGAATGATTTCTACAGGAAAAACAAGACATGCTCACAGATACACTGCAGTGCAATATCTGTGCTTCCTAGTAAAATACTGCCCAACAAGTCTTGATGTAATTATTCTCATGGGGAGGAACTAGATTGTAGGCACAAAGAGAGATCAGGATGGCAGGAGAAAATTATTTTCTAAGTGGGTTAAATAATATGATGTACAGGCAACACATACATCTATGTTTCTGTCCTGGACCTCTCCTTTGAGCTCCTTGCTATTTGCATTTATGGTCTGTTTTCTAACTCTAGCTCCTTTGACAATAGGGTTAAACATAATGATAAGTCAAACATTATTTTTAAGAAACTCACTTCAATAGATGGTAAATATTATTTTAATAAAATTTAACATGTCTATTTCATTTTCTTATAACCACTAAGACAATTTTATTGGGAAACTTAATACCCTACTGTGACAAATACACAGATTACCAGATAGAAAATCAACAAAGAAATATCAGAGCTCAACAAGAGTTCTGAACAAATAGACTTAGTGGATATCTGCATTGTTTCATCTTTTTTCCCATAATTTTATTGAGAAATAGCAATGAGACAGTTTCAAATCAAATTGGTATGACAGTTTCAATAATTAACACATTGCATACTCTCTTCCTAGTGGTTATTTGCTGTACAAGATGTGGACATGATATCCTATTTACAAGCACTATTAGAACAAATCCCTCTATTCATTAAGAGAATGTAACTGTTTATCTATCCTGTATCCCCTTTTTTGTTTAGTTCCATCATTTGAATATTATAGGTGTGTTAACTCAGCAAAATATTCTAAAAGAGTCCAGTAGTCCATAATAGTATTGGGTCTTCTGCTTCACTGGCAGTGTCAGAAATTGTTGACCTGAGTCCCCTACAGTTCAACATAACAGCGTGGCTTCTTATACTTCGTTTTTATACTTTTCTGCTGGATGGTTAAGGCCAAGATAAAGCAATACCTATGCAACAAAGTTGTAGCTTTTGGATCTAATAAGGTTAGTGAAATCCCCTCAGGATTTATCCTGATATCCTGTACCTCAGATTGTAGATCCTTTGTCAGTGCCATAACATGTCTATTTCAAAACAAGTAAAAGAATATATCTCAAACTGGCGTAATACTTAAAGATGAAACTTTAGTCATTTTCATTCCTAAGAAAAAAAGATGACTGCTGCTATTATTTTAATATAGTCTTAAAATTCTTTTTTTTGTTGTTGTTGTTGTTGTTTTGTTTTGGTTTTGCAGAGCTGGGGATTGAACTCAGGCCCTTGCACTTGCCAAGCAAGTGCTTAGTCTACTGAGCCATCTCCCCAGCCCATAGTCTTAAAATTCTAATCAAGCAATAAATTGTGAAAAGGAAATGAGCAATATTTATTAGGCAGGAGGAGACTGTATTGCTACAAATTTCATTTTTTATAATTTATTATCCAGAACCTTCCATAGGAACAATTGAAAAGCTCATATATTAGTAAAGATTTAAGAAATAGTTAATGCAGTAATGGGAGAAATGTTCATTAAAAAACAAATGCCAGGGCTGGCCAGATAGCTCAGTGGACTAAAGCACCTTCTTCAGCAGAGTGCAGCAGCAGCCCCGCCTCCATTGAGAAGACCATTGAGACTGGGTGTGGTGGCGCATGCCTGTAATCCCAGCGCTTGAGTCGCTGAACAGAGGAAAATCACTATGAGTCCAATCTATGTAATGAGACCCTCTAGACCCTGTAGACCCTGTACTAAATGGAAAAAATATAAAATAAACGAAAACAAAAAAACCCCACAAATACCAGCAAATTAGAAAATAGGATTTTTAAATGACTCCAACTACAGTTCCATCCCAATCCATAAAATATCTGATAATTTTGTTGATAAGATATGCAGGTCTATGTCAAATTTATCTGTATAAAGAGACAACAGAAGACTGACTGATTCAGTGTAAGAGATTTCATGCATGCTGAAGACAAATGCAGGGGCAGCGACATGGGGATTGAGAAAGCATGTAACCTCCCATCTTGCTGAGCTTGTGAAATTTGTTGATGAGTCACATATACACACACCTGCAAAATACAGGATGAGGGGTATAGCTCAGTAGCAGAGTGTTTGCCTAGCATAGGTGAGGCCCTGGGTTTCATCTCCACCTTTGCAGAAAGAAAAGTCACTGTGAAGCTTCTAATAGTGAATTAAATTTACTGCTTGATAGACATCAGAATTTCTGGAGTGACTTGAGAGTTAGAAAATATGTACAGCCATCGCTGGGCTCAATCCTTGAGCATCTGAGAGTGTCCTGGAGAGGGCAGATGCTAGGAGTTAGCCTGTGAAAGAACATGGATTTTAGAGTCATTTCCATGGTTTAGAATCACAGCTGTGGAACTAAATTGTGTAACTTTGAATAAATTAAGCTCTCTTGATCACAATTTGCTTATCTGAAAACTGGTAGAAAAAAATATACAACCCATAGAATTGTTTTTCCATTTTGTCAAGTCTGATATCAATGCCCAGTCTTTATCTTACTGAGAACTAATATGTTATAATTCTTTACCTATGTCATACTATTACTTCATTAGTAAAAGCAACACATTTTTTCCTAGATAAGGGGACTGAATGTTGTAAAAAATACTCATTACCAATATCATTAAGTCTTTTTGTGAAACCGGGGATTGAACTCAGGCTCTTGCGCTTGCCAGGAAAGCACTTATTCCACTGAGCCATCTCCCCAGTCCCCATTAAGTCTTTTTTTTTTTTAATTTTTATTTATTTGTGTGTGTGTGTGTGTGTGTGTGTGTGTGTGTGTGTGGCCAGCTCAGCCCACCAAGGGGCGGGGCTGGCTGGCATGTGGTGCTGGGGGATTGAACTGCAGTCCTTGTGCTTTGCTAAGCTTGTTCTAAGTAGGTGCTTTAGACCACTGAGCCATCTCACCAGCCCCCAAAGTCTTATTAAAAGTAAAAGTCTTGTTACGTTTTTCCCTTAAACTTGAATAATTTATTGTGACATTAAGTGGATGAATAAATAAGCAAGGATAACTAATATGCAATTGAGGAAGAGTCCTGGAAGATTCAATAAAACTGTCATTAAAACTGAAAATGGCAGGTGCAGGGGCCAGGGGTTTGATCCCTGGGCCTGCTGTGCCAGCCCAGTCCTTGGGGTGAGCTGAGATGGCAATTGAGACTGGGCGTGGTGGCGTGCACCTGTAATCCCAGCTTTTGGGAGGCTGTAAACAGGTGGATCACTGTAAGTCCCATCTAGTAGTGAGACCCTGAACACCCTGTAGACCCTTCCCTAAAATACAAAAATATAAAAAAATAACCTGAAAATGAATAGATCAGAAAAGGTACTATGTTAGTCTTCTCAGATTCTCTTAACAAAGTACTACAAATAGGATTGGTTAAACCACAGAAAGATATTTTTACATAATCTTGGAGATTAGAAGTCTGAGAACAAGATGTTGGCTGGGTTGGTTTCTTCAGAGGCCTTGTTCAGCTAGTAAGTGGCCACCTTCTCTCTGTGTATACATGTGGCCTTTTCTTCGTATCTATGTTCTAATCTCCTCTTAGAAGGACAACTGTCCTATTGGGTTAAGACTCACATATATGACCTAATTTTACTTTAGTTACCTCTTTAAAACCCCTTTTTCTAAATCAGTCATTATGAAGTTCTGGGGGGTTGGGACTTCAGTATATGAATTTAGTAGGCAGGTGAATGATACTGGGGGGCAGTGCTACAGTTAAGTGAATAGTAATGAACATGGTAAAGAATTGCAACACATTCATCCTCAGTAAGCTAAGGACTGAGAGTTGACTTTAGACTTGGCAAAATGGAACACAATTGTATGGATACAGTTCTGCAATAGGTAAAATGACAACAGTATAGCTTATTACAACCATGTTATAATGTGTAAAATTCAGGGCCAAGTTATTGTTAATTTTTAAAACTATCTTCTCATTCTTTCAGTTACTTGTGAATAAAAGAAAGGCCATTTTCATATATGATTTGTGGGAAATAGATTATTGAGAACAAAACCTGAACCATATACTGAAATGAAAAATTACCGTATGGTCAGTGTATTAGTATGCATGGAATGCCGTAACAAAATACCACTGACTGAGGGATTAAATAACAGAAATTTATTTCCTCACAGTTTTACCAGCTGCAAATCCAAGATTAAGGTCTGGTCAGTTGATGACGATGGCTTTTTTCTGTTTTGTAGGCAGCTGTCTTTTCATTCCTCTCATGGCAGAAACAGATTGACAGAAACTGAAAAAGAACAAATTAACTCTCCAGTGGTGTCTTTTTTTAAATAAGGACATAAAGACAAAATACATGAGTATGAAAAAGTACTCAAATTATCTTTTAGCCGAAGAAATCTGACTGGAAATACATATAATTAGTTGTCTATCAAAGTAGGATACAGGCATCCTACATGTTGGTTTAGGAGTATATTGTTGCCTCTGGAAACTTTGAGGTAAATTTCTTTTTTTTTTTTTTTTAATTCTTTTTTTTTTTTTGTGTAACTGGAGATTGAACTCAGGCCCTTGTGCTTGCCAGGGAAGCGCTTATTCCACTGAGCCATCTCCCCAGCCCGGTAAATTTCTTATAATGATGATGATAATGAAAATTATAAAGACAATAAGCATTTTTTTCGTGCTCTGCAGTGTCCTCAGCATTTTTCACTAATGAATCCTCCCAGTATCTTGCAAAGCAACTTTTTTTACCATTCTGAAATTGAAGCACAAAGAAAAGAAGTTGCTCCAAATTATATAAGTAGGCTAATAAGTGGTGGAGACATGGCTCAAACCTACTAATCCTTCTTTGGGGCTTTTTTCCCCTGATGAAATCACCTGATACCTCCTTTTTTGACATGTTGGTATTTTCGTTCTTGCAGTTTCACTTCTAGATTATCCTTTTCTCATCTTCTGTGTTTTGAATTAGAGATCATCCCCACACCCCAAGAAGCATTTCTTGACCTTCACCTTTAGTTACCGTTCAGCTTGAATGTCTTTTGTGTTTCATAGCACCTGTTTACTCAGATGTTTTTTCAAACGTTCTGGTTAAGTGTCTTTTTCTCCTGACTAGTCCTACTACTGATTGACAGGAAAAACTACTTTATTTTTGTATCCCTAGTAATTAGTAGAGTACTACATTGGGCTTTTACCTTTCTGTGTCTTTTTTTTTTTTACACCCTTTTCTTATTAAGATAACTTTATCATTATAATAATTACAAATATAGTGAACAATGTAAACATGACTGGATTATTAAAATCTACACAGGGTGTTATGATTTGCTTATGACTCTAAAATCTAGGTATTGTAAATATGATAGTATTAATAAGTAGAATTCTTAAAAGTCGATTTGGCCATCAGAGTACATTTTTTTTTTTAGTGGAATGAATGCCCTCATAAAAGGGTTCACACAGCACATTTTGTTAGCTTGCTCTTCTGCCACTTCAGGACAAGGCACAAGAAGGCCCTTTTGAGATCAGATGCCCATCTTTAATCTTGGACTTTTTTGCCTCCAGAACTGAGAAACAAAGTTCTATTCTTTGAAAATAACCCATTCTCAGGTATTTTGTCATAGCAGCACAAAACAGACCATGACATGATGTTAAAATTTCAATTTTTAAAAATGTATTACTTAGAAATTTAGTGGTGTCTTTTTTGTTGTTTATGTTAACATTACTATCCTTCTTTGGTAAAATTTAATAAAAAGACTATCTAAAAGTCAGGGCTCCAGCTAAGTTTCTTCTATGCGATGAACCTCTTTTTCAAGATCAGTTCATAAAACTGACCATGAAATTAAATATCTGTAATTTTTCAATTTTATATTTCATTTTGATATTTATTGTATTATTCCTAAGATCCCGCTTTAAGATGGAAAACAAATTTAATTTTTTTTAAAGATGTTCAATGCCTATTTTGTTTTGCGTTTTTTGTTTTCAAAGTTGCTGCAATATTTCTAAGGGAAGTAACAATTTTTACTTCCCTTAGAAAGTAAGGGAATTTTATGGAGATATTTGAGTTTTTTTGTTTTCCTCCAAAAGGCACATGGTTTTCTGTTCAATGGTTATCCTTAGAACCTATACTTTTAAGTAACAGCTTGTAAGTACCTAAGCCCTTTGAGAGTCATAGGCAACCTGATAGCAACATAAACTTACTTTCTTATTTTTATATACCATACTGTTTATTTTCTTTTTCTTGCATAGTATCATACTCCTGTAATCTCAGCACTTGGGAAGCTGAGGTAGGAGGATCACCGTGAGTTCAAGGCCAGCCTGGGCTACAAAGTGAACTCACAGCCAACCTGAACTACATAGTAAGATTCTATCTTAAACAAAAATGTTTTCATTTGAATCAGTACTCCATATGCTTTTATCTTTGTTTATCCTGTACCATCCACAACCATAGATATAGAGTGAAAGAATAAAATCAGTTTGACATAGGGACAGAGGACAGACTAACTCCTTAAACTATAACTCATTAAAAGTATGATACATATATTCTACGTGGGGCAGACAGAGACTTAAAAACAATTTTTGCCAAAAATACCCAACAGAAAAGTGATACAGTTGGCTTATAGACACCCAGAAGGTAACTGAAAGCAGAACAAAGCTTGAATCACCATTTTGTGGTTTATTATTATTATTATGATGATGATGATGATTATTATATTAAAACTTGAAGCATTATAGGCAGGATAATTATTTAGAGAGTGTTTAGGATCTGGCACTATGGGGCGACCAACCTTAAACTTATATAACTATTCATCTTTCAAGACTAAAGCCACCAAGATAAGAGATTTACAAGGACATACACCTATCAGTGAGTGCCCAGAAGTCTCTAGTTGTTGTTCTGAACTCAAGCCCACTTTGGATTTGGCAGTGCCTTCCTCAAGCACAGTCATCTCATGGAGACTGGATTAAGCAATAAAGACTTCTCTCGAGGTCTCCTTTCAAACCCAGAACTGAGATAATTATCATCCAAGCCCTTGCCAACCCCAATTTCTTAAAAACTGTACCCATTTCTCTGTTAATGGGTCAACCTGGCCATTAGAGTGATATCTTCATTATCTCTGCAAGCTGAATTCCTTCCAATTTTTTCTTACCTTTTAACTCTAATAAATCACTTGTGCTTATTAGCATTAATACAACACTATATTAATAAACCTATCTAAAATTAATTATATTTAGGCCAATAATATTTAAGATAAAGTGGAACACATTTTATAAACTATAGTCAGATATGTCAAAAATAAATTGCTTTACTTATTCACATATTAAGCATTTTTATTTTTGACTATTGCTCTGAGTGGCTTGGGATGTAGGATTTTGCTCTGAGACATGATCATGCTACACAGCTTAGGCCCGTCCTGACTGTCACTTCTCGTGTGACACCCTCCAGAGTGCTCTGGGATTGTGGGTATGCTGCCATTCCCAACTGGCTTTCTTTTTCTGGAACCACTTTTATCTTGCTCTGAAGTCTCTATTCTGCCTCCATTTTTAGGATGAGAGATGGGGGATGATGACCAAAAGAGACCAGGTAGCTAGTATAAAAGCCATTCCACCTATTTGGGCTTAAGGGTGTCAACTAAAAAAAATGTTCAAATTTTCAGAGCTTTTCCCTTATTCTACTTCCTAAAGTTTTTGATTAATAACTTTTAGTTTCAGTTTGAAAGGGTCTTCATGTCTTTCTTTGGTGAGGCAAATTTGCATAAGGTGAAGGTATGAGGGAGACCAGTGGCAGGCAGTGGTGAGTGCCACTACTTTCATTTTCCTTATAGTCTTCTATCAGCTATTACCAGTCAGAAATTATCTCATATGTGAAGAGCATTAAGTGTCCCTGTCACCTCTCCTCCCTTTCCCTTCTTCCTCTTTCTCCTCTCTCCCTGTCCAGACCCTGACCTTGAAGGTGTTGGGCCTTATTTATTTTTTTGAGATAGAGTGTTGCTAGGTAGGCTGGCCTTAAACTCATTCTGTAGCCTGTGGTGGTGTCAGACTCATGATGATCCTCCTGCCTCAGCCTGCTGAGTTCTGGAATTATAGGTGTGGACTTTAAAGCTGGACAAAGACCCTCTGCCCAACAGTAAGACAAATACTTCAGGCATAATGGCCAAATATTCTTAATGTCAAAGGATAAGAGAAAATGTCTGAATAGAAAGCTAAATATGCAGTATTACTGTAGCTTAGTGGTTGAGAAGGTACATTTTTGAGTCAGAAAAAAATGAATTTAAGCCCAATTCCCTCATTTATTATCATCTAAAGATACTCTCTCTCTTTTTTAAAATGTAAGTGGTTGTTCTAGGGTGTCACTACACAGGTTGGACTCATAATGATCCTCCTGCTTTCAGCCTCCCCAGCCCTGGGATAATAGGCATGAGGCATCACACCCAGACTCTGGGTGGTTGAGCCTGCCCTGAGGACAGGGCTGGCAGGGCATATAGTGCCAGGGATCGAACTGTGGTCCCTGTGCTTGCCTAAGCTTGCCTAAGCAGGCACATTAGTCTGCTGGGCTATCTCCCCAGCAGCCCCTAAAGATATTATCTTAAGAATGGTAATCAACATCAGCAAGGGTTGCCTTCTTCATTTGTAAAATAAGTAACTAAATTTTTAAAATGAGAATTAAATTAGTTGATACATGAAACGTTGTGTTGCTTTACATGTTACAAACTAAGTGGTAGTTATGTTTGACTTGAGAAATCTCTTTTAAAGGTAAAACAATGAACATGAAATTGGATGGGAGGTTACTACAGTTCAGGGTATTAGTTCCAAGGGAAAAAGCAAATTTATGATATAAGGAAATAGAAACTAAAGGGTAATAGGAGGTGGGGAATAAATAAGAATGGAAAACATAATAACCATAGAGAGGTTTGGCCTTCTGGCAGCATGAGGTGTCTTGTTCTTGCAATTTGCGAAGTCTCATCTTACAGTAATACTTACATATTTAAACAGCATTTCCTTCTAGTTAATTTGTATTGCTAATAAAGTCAAGATGAAGCTGGTTCATGTTATTTTAACTAATAAGTGAGAGATGAAAGAGTAGTCTTGATTTTTTCCCCTCTTTTTTATTCAGGTGGTGAATGGAAAACTCGTTATGAGGCACAACTTGAATTGAATGATCAGCTACAAAAACAAATTGTATCTCTACAAGAGAAAATGAAGAGAGTCCGTGGAAATCCTTCAGGTCCAAAAGTAATCATAGTGTTTTATAAGTTGAGTTAAAACAGATAAAATAACACTTGTTTATGTCTGCTTTGTTATAGATAGACTATCTTCTATTCGTGTTTATGAGCGAATGCCAGTGGTAAGTAAAAAAAAAGTTAAGCAAAGTGAACAATTGAAGGAAATTATGTACATTTTCCCGTAGATAGATTCCAAACAAAAGTTTAATGATTGAGGCAAGATCCAAATGAAACATATTCAGAGATGCTGTTCTTGCATATGAAAAATGCAATAACGAGCTATCAGCTTAATCTTCCTCTTATAAAGTGAGACATGGATGCTGGTACAGGTGCAAACAAACAAAAGGGAAGAAATGAAATCTCAGTGGACAGGCTGTCTGAAAATGTCTCTTCCTTGCATCTGAAGAAGTCTGTTTAACATAAAGTATGTATTTTTATATATATTCTTCATATTTAAAATGTACCCCTCTACTTTCTTTGTATATACACATATGCACACATTTCCATATATGCACTTATGCACACATGTTATATATCCATACACAAATACTTTAAAAATGTGTAAAATCCAATAGGTAACTCATGAAATTACTTCACAATGAACAAAAAAATCTCATTAGAGTGACCCATCCTTTTTTTTTTTTTGCTTGCCCTTGTTAACATCTTGCCCCTCTTTGATAGTACATTTTAATCTCTGATAAATTTATATGTCTTACATTGTACAAAGCCCTTTCAATGGCTTTTCATTCATCTATTCCTTAAAATATAGATAAAGCCCAAAGCATGACTTACGTTAGGCCCAAGATATTCTTAAACATAGGCTTTCCTCAGAACTCTTGCTGAGTTTTTATTTGAGAAACTCTTGGGGAAGAAAACATGGGAGGCTTGTGCAAAAACAAGGATTTTTTTAAAAAATAAAAAACAATGCTCAGCTGAATTTTGAGGATTTAACAGACTGAATTTTTATTCATTAAAAATATTTAATCATATGAATTACTTTCATATCCCTTATCTCAGCCTGGCTGGTAGACTGAGATAAAGTGATATAGATAAAGTTTTATATTATTCCTTTAATGCATGTGACACTGAGTTAAAAGAGATGAAGGTACTATATTTGCTCAGGCTCACACGGTCTGTAGTTGTGAAGACAAATTCTCTTTCTCTGCAAACTGCTTGCACCCATTCCATTACACTGCGGCACACTGCTTATGAGAAATAATATCGCAAAGTTCCTGAACAGCTGTAGATTGAGCACTAGATTGGCAGCTGGAGTCACAGGAATCCTGAGAATGAGAGCGTTTAGGGATGTTTTCTTGAATGACTGCAATCAACCAATAAAGAGAAATCTTTCACTTTTACTAATAATGAATTGAGGACAAAAAGTTTACTTTCCTACCTTTGTGTTATTTGTAACTCAGAGATACTTTTATTTCTATAAGTCTTAGAAGGTAAAAAAAAAGGATATTATTTTTTTTAATTGGAAAAATTAGTTTGTTTTTCTTCATTTTTGCAGTAGAGTTGTGTCTCCCTCTTATGGCACTTAGCAGTTAAATGCACTGAGAATTGTTTTAAGCAGAGTCCTTTTTTAATTAAAAAAAGAATTTTAAAACTATGTACAGGATATGAAACATAAAGTACTTCCTATGAAATGTAAAATATCCTGGCTACTGCTTCTCAATAACCCAGTCCTATTTCCAAAAAACTTGTATCATTGCCTGATATGACATGGTGAAATACTTCATTGTATCTGTAAGAGACATTTAGCTGATTTTCTAACCACTACCTGAAACTTACACTCTGGAATACATTCATATTGGCAAGAAAAAAAAATTCACAATAAATTTGTGTTATTACTGACAAAAATGTTTTCTAAGGGGTTTAGATTCAGAAGCAGAGAATTATGTTCTCTTCAGTAAAAGACTAAGGACATAATAGAGCAAGAATGGGCCCGCATAGCAGGAGGAGAATGAAAGTTCAGTATGAAACTGATGCTTTCTATTCTGTGAATAGATGCCCCTGCCTAAGTATTTAGGTTTTCTTAATCAGTGAAATGCAGAAGGGGTTTTCTGTGCAGTAGGACTTAGAAATCTAGTCAAAAAATTATAATACAAATATCTAGCCAACTACTGAGCAAAAACCAGTGACATTCAAGAGCCCTCTATCTAGTCAAGAGAGCTCTCATCACCAAGTACAGACGATGTATTGTCTTCTGCTTTGACATAAATAAGTTTTGTGAAATATATATGTATAGTATCCATGTACAAAATATTTCAAATTTTATTTGAAGTTGATAAATGAAAGAGCTTAAGTAATTGCTTTTCTAGGCTAGAGTAATGAATTCATATGACTCACAAAATTCTTGACTTTATATTCTATCTTTGCTAGGGACTGTACAGTCTTTAGTTGTAACTTATACTGACATAATTAAAAGATTGAGTTCTGTTAATTTGAACACTGATTTTGAATGACTGCAGACTGTAGGCTTGCTTGGGAGTAACCAAAAGGATGATACTAGTTTTAGATTAGTATAGGTATAACATTTATAATAAGATTTCAAAAAAAGCTATGAAATGTTATTTTCAAACCAGATTGTTAAGGTGGGCTTGATTTTATTTATTATTATTATTATTATTATTATTATTATTATTTTGCTGAATCAGGGGTTGAACTCAGGCCCTGGCACTTGCCAGGGAAGTGCTTATTCTACTGAACCATCTCCCCAGCCCCCTTGATTTTAATATTTTTGAAAAGCTATTTACTTAAATGAGTGAAGTCCTAAATTTTTTTTTTTTTTAATGTATTTGGTACAGGGTCTATAGAGTCTCACTACATAGATTGGACTCGTAGTGATTCTCCTGTTTTCAATCTCCTAAATGCTGGGATTACAGGTACACACTGCCATGCCCAGTCTCAATCGCTGTCTCAGTGTGCGGTGTGCCCCAGGGGCAGGGCTGGCACAGCACAGGGGGGATCCAGCCCTGGCCGCTGCGCACTGCCTAAGCAGGCACTTTAGTCCGTGTAGCTATTTAGCTGGCCCCCAAGTCCTTGTTTTGATAAAGACTAGTTTCAAGTCTTCAACCTATTTTATGTGTGTGTAAGGTTTACATATGTCATCTGAAGCTAGTATAGAGTATATTATTGTTTTAATTTTCTTAAAGATAGGGTCTTGTTATGTATTTCAGGCTAGCCTGGAACTCCTATTGACTATCCTGGCTTAGCCTCCTGTGTACTGGGATTACAAGTGTGCTACCATCCCTGGGTCTACAGTCTATTATTTTCATAGTGTCTTTTAGTAATGTAATCTTAAAATATTGGGCTGGGGATATAGCTTAGTAGCACAGGCACCTACCTAGCAAGTGCAAGGTTTTAAGTTTCATACCCAGTGTCCCTGCCCCCCAAAATTTAATTTTAGTATAATGTATCAGTTAAGGGTTATATTTGGCTGGATGTAAGAGAATGAGTTGAACAAGTAAGGTGTGCCTCTCCCCTACACACGCACATGTAACAGGAAATATGGTTTGCAGTCAGGGTTGGTACAGTGACACTATGACACTATGAGTCCAGGAGCCTCCTGACTTTCTACTTTGTTATCTATTTGTAAATGACTTTTGACATAAAAACTCGTAAGTTGGTTGCTTCATTTTGTTATCTGATCCATGTTCTTATTCAAGGAAAGAAATAGGTGAAGGGAAATGGGCAAAGGGGAGACTGGTCATGCATTCTTTCAAGAAATTTCTAGGGTGCTGCAGTGAGCAATTTTCTCTCACAGTTCACTAGTTAGAACTATACTTTCTTTATGTACAAGAGATGTTGTAAATATAGTACTTTATGAGGGTAAATAGGAAGAGGAGGAAAAAGATAGGAGGTTTTCAATTATGCCTCTGTGCCATACAAGGTCAGTCACATGAATGGCATACTATTTCTTTTGGCATATTAAAGTATTGTAGATTATTTGAAAAATTAAAGACAAAAATAAAAAAGAAAATAAATGAAAAATTAAAGATAACAATACCTTTATCTTTAATTTAAAAAGAACAACAATAAATAAATAAGGCAAAAATTACAAGAAAGGAACAAAACAGGACTCTACTTAGTTTTTGTTATTTTCAATATTATAACCTCACTACATGGACAATCTTATATCCTGTACTAATTAGGACAATTAATCATTTTTGTTTATATATTAGGAGCTACATTTTATTCTACTGTATTAAATGAGCAGTTTTTTACTTTTGTCAGTATTTGAACAGTTTAGATTGTTTTTGTTTTAATTCTGTTTTTTGTCAACTTTTATGTTTTAATGTTACATGCTTACAATACTTGATGATTATATTTCTTATGGTGAGTTAGCACATAACGTCTAACGCACATAACACATCCTGATTCTTTTTTCATGCCTTCCCCGCCTCTTGTTCCCTGCTCCTCCCAGTGTAAATATATCACTGTGGTGTGATGTTTTTAATTTTGCTTATCTCTTGTTCCTCTTTCATTTGTGAAAAGTTTCTTTTTCTGTTTCCTATTTTCTTTTACTTACTTTTATTTGAATTTTACATTTCTCATATAAGAAAACTTTTATGTCTGACTAACTTCATTTAACATGGTCTGAAGAGGCATCCAGTTTCCCACAAATAACTCAAGTTTGTCCCTTATGGTGGCATAGGACTCCACTGTGTATAAATACCACACTTCGTTTATCCATTCATTTAGGGATGGACATACAGGCTGCTTCCAAGATGTAGCTATTTATAAACTGTGCTGTTGTCATCACAGGTATGCATGACTCACTGCTATATGATGTGTTTAACTCTCAGGAAGATAACGAGGACAGGAATATGTAGGTAGAGTGGAACTTGCAGTTTTAGGATTTGAAGAATCTCCATACTAATTTCCATGTACTAGTGCCTGTACTAGCTTACATTTGCAGCAACAATGTAGAGGGTTTATTTTTTTCTCACAGCCTCTCCAACATTTATTATTAGTTAATTTCTTGATGATAGCCATTCTTTCTGGAGTAAGCTAGAATCTCAGTGTTTTAATTTGCACTTTTCTGATGACCAATGATAGGTAATAGGGTTTTTTTTGTTTGTTTGTTTTAAAAGTTGGATCTTTGGGTTTTTAAATT